GGTATTAAATACGTAAGACCAGCGAAGTATCATGCGTGTGTGTGTGTTGTTTGGGGGGAGGGGTGGGGATAATAAACGTGTGTTCATACAACAGCAATCAGATCTGAACCTTTCAAATTTTATAGTAGCCTGCACCAACAATTAAGAGGCTGCACCATGGGACAGCTACCGACAATCCGCCCTTTGATGTAAGGTCAAAGAACGAAAGCATCCTTTACTTTTAATTACGGAGGAATGGCTACTAAGGCAAAGTATCGAACTGTAAACAGCTCTCGCCCCACGGTAGACATGAAAAGCCTAATCTTCATCTTAGGGTAGGTAAGATCGAACACTTAGTCTTCTCGGATAAGGGCGAACAAATCTCGGAGGTCCCGAATGTAAGTTGCGCACGTTAAAGATCCATTGTTGGTCTGAAAATTGCTGAAGGAAAAAAACGGGAAAAACTAAGCAAGAAACAAAAAAACAAACAAATGAGTTTCTTGACCTATATAAAGAGGAATGCTTTTGCGGAGGGAAAATGGTAATTTTATATGTTATGCATGTTGTCAAAACCGTAATTAGATTGCCGTGCGTGCATTCATATTTCGAAATTTGAAAACGTGTATCCACATTAGTAGAAGATTGTTTTTCCGTGGTAAATTTCGTTAGCTACTCCGTGGTGTTGGCAAATCGGCACCCGCTTGGGGGGGGGGGGTGTTAATGCCTAAGGGTAATTATTCCGTCGTGCTCCATTGCGTATGGGCCTTCGGTTGGAGAACACAAGATGCGGTACAAGTGACATTTGACAGGGCCATCTGGCTGCAACAACTCTACAGCTTGTTCATTCTCGTCTGTCCGTGGTTTAAAACAAGACAAAAGAAAATTGGTCTGATTACAATAGTTTATTGTAGCGATACTGTACATGCATCCAAAGATGGTGTTTAATATAGGGCCAAATAAAGAACTTTGAACTTTTTTTTTCTCCTTTCGTTTAGTCTCTGGCCTGTTTTTAGATGTGCCATGCACAGGTACGTGCGCATTGGCAAATTAATGAATGAGCTAGTTTAATTTTTTGACGCAGACGGACGAAATTGAGCAAAAACATGTAGCTTACATAATATAGACCCCCAAGGACCTTAGAATAATAATATTATTATTCTGTTTATAACTTCCTTGGCCTTGACGCAGTTTATCGTCAGCCACGTCTCTGTTTCACACTTTTTCGAAGCAACAACCATTGAAGGTTTAGGAATAGGGGCAATGACAGCAAATCGGGTCTGGGCATGTATGTGTCTTTGTGTGTGTGTGTGTGTGTGTGTGTGTGTGTGTGTGTGTGTGTGTGTGTGTGTGTGTGTGTGTGTTGGGGGGAGGGGGGGCTGGTTACGTTAAACAGAATAAATTATGATTCTGACTGTAGTATTATCCTCTACTGGTTGAGTGAGTAGTGAATTCAGACTCGCAAACAGCATCGAGCATTAATCGGTGACACGGCGGTAAGTTGGATGGTCACTGGGATGTGTCCTTGGGCAAGACCCGATAGCTCTAGCTCAAAAACAGGCCGCTATACTTCAAATGGGCTGGTGACATTTTGTATTACCAAAGTATAATAACCAGCAAATATAAAAATAATACACCCCACATTTTAACAAAAAAGAAAACAAAAGTCAAGCAGATAAGGACTTATGAGAAAAACTTCGAACTCAGACTGAGACAATCAAAATTTTAATCAATAAAAGGAGATCTGAAACAAGCTCCCGGTGTCTTGGGCGGTATTAGCTTCTTCGTCTTCACAAGGATAAGAAAGTTATTTTATTGGAAATCTCTGCCTGTCTATTGGTATATTGTATCTCAGTCAGCCCGAGATGAGCCTGGCAGGCAAGTTTGAAGCAGCTCGCTTCTCAAATGATCCCAATAGTGTCGATGTGGACGTTTACCATTCACAACACATCTTTAGAAGAAATTAGGAATACGTATTACTGTAAAAAGATTTATGAAAAGAATGCGTCTTTATAAGAGCAACAGCAGTACTCCTACAGCGTCATAGAGATACTCGCGGGGTAATACAAAATGCCACCAGCCCATTACCACTCGACTGCTTACCATTAAACGGTTCCTTGGTAAGTGGAAAAAATATGTTCCCAACTGATGTACGAATAAGTATGAAGAAGTACGGAGAAGTAAGAATAAGAACGAAGGATGTCTCTCCTGAAATTACACGTTTATTTGATACATTAATGGTGCCTCTTTTTTTTAATTGCGTACATAATTCAGGACGTTCAGCAACCGGGGAAAGATTCCAATCATTTCAGTACGGCGACTCTGGGCGGGTGGCGAGATACTTCTGGATGTTTGGAATGTTCTGGATCTTCTCTTTCAGCCTTGCCAGGTGAGGGTAGGCGGATACAGTGTCTTGGTCTTCGATCACAGAAAACACGGCGACATCAGCGCACGTCAGCTTGTCCATGGAGATAGAAGAAAATATTTTGTATATGTGCCATGACACGGTGGAATCAGGCGCTCGTCAGTTCATGAGCAAATGGAATTATTGGATGGCATAATCTTAAAGCGTGTTCAGTTGTCTTGCTTTTAATTAAAAAATACCCACCTAAATTAAATAGAAGTCAATATTTTTGCCATTGAGGGAGGCGAGGGTGTCCATGTTTCAGAAGTAAAATTAGCGAAGAAATGGCCACAAAATTTTGAACACTTCAAAAGTCCGAAAGCTAGAGTGTTCTTGGAACCTGTAAATTTACTTTTCTGTGCTTTTGATCAACATTTTTCAGTTTAAAACACACACACAAACAGACACAAACACACACACACATACACAAACATACAGAGAGAGAGAGAGAGAGAGAGAGAGAGAGAGGGAGAGAAAGAGAAAGAGAGAGAGAGAGAGAGAGAGAGAGAGAGAGAGAGAGAGAGAGGGAGAGAAAGAGAAAGAGAGAGAGAGAGAGAGAGAGAGAGAGAGAGAGAGAGAGAGAGAGAGAGAAAGAGAGACATGTTTTAAGGGGACATGAAAATAAACACGGTGTTGAGCAAAAAAAAAAAAAGAAAGAAAACAAACCCAATAAAAACTCTCGAAACGAGCGGAAACATGACGGTTTCTTCGATTTCATCGTTTTGACGAGAGCCTGATTTCACCACAAGGCCACAAAAACAAGAAAAGGCTAGATATAAAAAAAATCCCTAGGGTACCATCTACCCCCTGAAAACAAAAGTATGAACGAAATACCATGTTATCATATACGACATATCGAGGGATACAGCGCATTTTGATCACAAAAAAATTCCCATGAAAATTTTTATCATAAGATTGTGGAGTGGATGGGGTTTTCCGGAAATGCCCGTATTTGGTGTATAGTGTGTTTTGCGATAGAAGCTTTCAAATTGACTTATTTAAATCATTCATGCGGTGGGCTTCTTAAACCAAGGCTGAAATGGATGCAACGTCCCAACAGACAGACAGAGATGCTCGAAAAAAAAAAACATTCCCTGAAGACAATCGAACTCAGGTTTTCTACTTTCGACGATGAAGTGTCTAACCGCCCCAGCACAGACGCCAATGGAGAGTATCTGGTGCAATTGGCACTTAATAACTGAAAGCGTTAATTATGTTTACTTACTAACTTTAAAAAATAGAACTGTGATGAAAGTACGTTAATTTCTTATTCCAGAGGGTAAGGCAGAAAAAAGGTATTTTGTCAAGGGGAGAAATGTCTTTCCATACAATGGTACAATTTCGAAAAGAACATTACATAAAACGATACATAGAATTTATCTTAACTCCAAAATCTCAGAGTCCAACACCAAGGGAAACAAAAATAACCCTAAAAAGCTTTCTTGATTGATGATTGATTGTAGCAGATGAACGCCCCCATCGATACTATAATTTAATCATTTTGAAGGGGCTACCCCTGGCTATGAAGGATACAATGTCCTTGCAAACAGATGAAGATACTCGATACAAATTCTACTAAAACGGGAGTAAAACTCACGTTTTCTGTGTACGACAGCGAAACGCCTAACCGCTACACCACAGACATCGGAATAGTAAAAAATAAAACAAAACATAAATGTAAAAAAAAATACAACAACCCCAAGACGGACAGACGTAAGCATCAAGCAACAGGCAGGAATATAAGCAGCAGGGGCTACCAGTAGCGTCAAACTGGAGGGTTTTTCAAAGTTCAGCCTGCCATGGGTGGTTGGCGGGTCGGTGGTGTGGTTTGCTCCTTTGATCTTCCCTATTAAACGTCCTTGAAGGCCCTTCGTCCTTTCCTCTTCTCATTCTTTTCTCAGAATGCTGCTCTCTAATAAAGCATCTAATCTTCGGCATTTATATGACCTAAACGTGTTCCAAGTCAAGTGTCGTAAAACACTCATTAAAACTAAAATAAAAGTAAGGCAGAGAGGTAAATCTATCGGGGGAGGGGAGGGGGAGGGGAGGGGGAGGGGGAGGTTATTATATCCTTCTCAGTCCGGCTTGGTTCTGACAGGCAGGCTCAAATCCCGCCTTAGATATGATCTAAATTGTGTCGAAGGGGGAGTAAAAAAACACTACATTGAAGCATAAAAAAAAAGCCAACCTACCGAATTGCTGACAAGCCATCCCGTGCCATTATCTCCGAGGAGACGTTCTAGACAGCTGAACACATGTGGTTTCTTAACATTATTCACAATCTCCATCTTCTTGTCCTGAAATGTTTTTAAAAAATCATCATCATCGTCACGATCATCAAGAACAGCAACAACAAGAAGTGTTATAACACTAACAGACAGCATTCAATTTACTTTTGTTATAACTGATCTATCTATCTATCTATCTATCTATCTATCTATCTATCTATCTATCTATCTATCTATCTATCTATCTATCTATCTATCTATCTATCTATCTATC